GGCTCATACAACTGTTATCCCAATCCATACACACATCAATTGTGTAAAGCGCATTTGTACATCGTTTCTCAGAACATTTTCTCTCCATTTAAACCCCCGACATTAGGTCCTCAGATACTGTCTTCTTGTGAGACTGATTGACAAAAAGATTACTTCCAAGGGTACAAAAGAAGGCAATTTCACGAGTGATAATAGGGTCCTCTGAAGTGTTTTACATTCTTCAGAGTACATTAAGAAGGAAAAAAAGAGATAGAAACAAATTAAAGAACGTGACATCAAAAGCAAGCCAAAGAGAACATATGAAAGCAGTCTCCGATGATTTTAAAATATGTCCCATGCCTCACGCTGAGGCAATTACTGGTTTTTTTCCTTGTGAGCGTGTTCAGAGGAAATGGCGACTTTCAGAACAATACATCTTTTGCACCTTCATTCTTTTAAGTGGGGTTCAGGTTTCACCCCTTCGACAAAGTATTTGGTGATTAAGACTCTAAATGGTCAGGGGTGAAAAAACGACGGAACTCACTCCGTGGCTGTTATAGGGTAAGAGCAAATGATGCTGCGGTCTTCTTAGGCACTGTTACAGTGTGTGAGCTAAATCAAACTGCTAACTTTGGTGGCCTCTTAGAATTGTACATGTAAAACCTACTGGCGCTGGTGTTTGCTTTTAGTGTAATTCTTGAGCAATGCATTACGAAAACTGAGTTTTCCCCCCTCAAAGATGGCACTCTGATACAACCTGTTCCAACCCTCCTGAGCTAACAATATTATTTGCAGTCTCATCCCCAACAGTGGATAGTGCGTGAAAACTAGTAAATTTTAGAAATGTAAGAATAACCACCTTAAGTAAAACCATCGAGCTAAGGGACAAACGCATATAAACGCTAACCCGAACATTAAGCGTTTGAGTTCGCCCCATGGTGTGTCACAATAAAGACCTGGCACTCTAATTTGGAAAACGCTGACACTGACCTGAGAGAGCACAGCTCTTATTCTGACGCACATGGAGTTGTCGCCAGTTCTACAGCATGTAGTTTCTTGTTTTATGCCCAAAACCCAATAAAACACGGGTAATGATTTAAAAGAGATCACCATGGATGGCGAGTATGAGAACAGGGTGTGAAAGAGTAATGAGAATGTAGAACTTTGTTAGTTTGTTTATTTAGAGATAAACCTTGTAAAAAGATCTGATTTACCAACTTTTTTTTCAATTTTAAAAAGTGAAAAACCATAATCCACAAGTAATAAAGATTGTCATCAGGTATGAGATGAGATAAAACTGTCACTACAATCCAGGTCCACTTATGGGTTCATGCAGACATCCATAAAGGGCCCTAATGGTGTACTGGAATAAGCATTAGACTGGTAACCAGAAGGTCAGAGGTTTGAACCCACTGGTTGCTCCACAGAAGAAGGATGAGACTGTGTGCTCCTATTCAGTCTCAGAAGCCCTACAAAGCCATCTGATTCCATCCTATAGAGTCACTGAGTTCGAGCTGACTCAACAGCAGTGGATTTACAAGCATTTAAATAGTCTAAATAGATCAAGGTCTGTTTGCTGACCTTTAGGAGCGTTTTCTGGACGAGTCTAATGGGGTGCCATGTCCTGGCCCCAGAGTCCATTGTTTGTCTTTCCTCGGGACCTCCTTGCTCGGCTTCCCTGCCGCTCCATTGCATGCCCCCAGTGTTTTGCCTCAGTGTGGTGGGGTCAGCTCAGTCGCCCATCCCACACTGTGTCTCCGGTGCTGTCCCATGCAGGACCATGGGTCAGTGCAGGATGCCGCATCTCGCATGGGGGCAGCCACACGGTCCTCTCTGTACACTGCTCCCCCCACCCCCGAGCTAGGCCATCATCTTCTGAGTTTGGTGGGCCCAGTTGTGCTCCGCTCCTTTCCTCCTCCTTCCTTTG